ACTGTTGACAACCAGAGTGGAATCGAGACCCCGCTTCCTCCAGCCCAGCCTTATGTAGAACAAGCTCACAATGGACTCTGCACTGGGCCACAGCCCCTCCCATATACATTCATCGTTCATATCCATATACTGCAGCTGAACTCAACACACAAGGCAGGACACAGCTAATTATGAAAAAGTCACAGATAATGTGGTGAACTTTTTAAAAGCAAACAGATTGTCAGTATATGTAGTAGAAGGTGAAGTGTTTAAAACAAGCATTGTTAGGGTAAAATTGTATAATGGCACTGGTAATGTCTTGTTTAAAATGTAATGACAAATTTTGATCATCACATCATAAAAAAGATATTGGTGCTCTGCAATCAATTCAGAAAAGAGCATTTCTGAGCTTGAAGGAATTAAAACTGGGCTAAGTGCTGGTAAACTACTTGCAAACAAATGCGCTAAATGGGCCCATGCGATTTCTTACTAATGCTGTTGTGTTCCCATTAATTTAGAACAATGTTATTAAGTGGAACAGTGAAATGACTGTGCACACATGTGTAATAAACTATTGTTTTAAACTTCAGAATTTCAAATGCATTTACGTCTTGGTTACTGTCAACATTGTTTTGCTACTATATTTTGTATTTCAAAAGGTTGAGCAGCATCTCAGATTTCATAATATAATTCTAGCTATTGAACTGTACATATATTTACAAATTATGATTGCTTCACCTAAGTTACCTTGGAAACAGACATAGCTAATTTCTTATAATTTTACTATGAACTTGAACTTGATCAGTTTATTCACATCATCAGAGATGCCATCAGAGGACTCATCAAAGACACCCTTGGATTGCTGTGATTTCCTGTCTTTTCCAATTCTACAGAGCTGTGCAGTTTGAAACAATTTAATTTTAAGTGTGAGAACTCAGTCCTAAGGATTTATGCTGCTCTGTGCGTGAGAAGCAGGCAGGCCAGTCGCTGCCCTACCATCCTCGTCTTGCTGCACATGGCTTGCCTTACTCTCCTAGTTTGCTTGTTTAATTTGTGCTTCATTTTTGTTACAGGACAAAAACATAAAAAGGCAAAGCAGAGAATGGGAATTACACGGGGATCCTTCTTCCTAAGTGCTCTGTCATTCCTCAGCTGTGACACCTGCATGTTGCACTGTAGTCTCACCACTCTGTAATGGCTCAATGCATGTCCACAGTTCGACAGCACCTCTCGTAACCCAGCCTGCCTGATGTTTCAGACATCACACACTTTATTGCCCTAACAGAATCCTTGTGGTTTTACTCATTTTCTTTTAAAGGAAAATGTGTGATGCACTCTTGTTAAGGTTTACTTTATCCCTGCCTTTTGCATATTATTATTTAAACATAGGTTTTTGGACTCGTTCTTCCAGTGTGCATGTCAGTTTCATGTCCACAGTGTTGGTATGATTCAGTGTAATGAACCATCGGGATTCCCACAGTGCACACAGTACTCAGAACCAACAGCTGGAGTACAATGCTGAACACAACTCATCTCTTTCTTCAGTGACTCAGAGTCTCTGATCCCTCAGATAAAAATGAGAGCCAGTAACTGTTATTGAGACACTAGCTCCTTGTGTGTCACTGAGAGCTTAATGTGAATTAACCTTGTTCTCTGAACCTTAATTAGATAAAATTGAACAATTCCAAATAATTGCACAGAGCAGTCATTAATTTGTGAGACGTCACATGGGGCTGAATTACTTTTTGAATTTCTCAGATCTGTAATTAGATTACAAGGGACAAATGCTGGAATTAACTCTTGAATGTGAAGAATCAGAAGCAGCAGCCAATGACCTGTGGCAGAGTCAGAAGGCCCATTTGCCTGTGTTTTGTATTAATTGCCAAAGCAGCTGTGGGTGATTTCATTGTTAATATTGTACAGTCATATAGTATCTCTTTTAGCTCTGCAGTGATGAGCAACAGCCTGGTGTCTTGCAGCAGTTTGACAGAAGGAGCTTGTCTGGGACACAATGTGTTTTGTGTGGTTCATGTATTCCATCGTATGTGCTGTTCATCCTTTAACTCATCAAGTAGTTTGCACTAAAAGATTCCAAAAGTTGGAATCAGATATTGTCCCTCAATTTTATTTCTCTCTTTAAGCTATCCTGTATTTTTTTTTTTGCTTTGAAATGTGCGGCTTTCTGTAACTGTTCCTTCTTTGTATTTTTTTTTTGCTATTCAGCAGGTCATAACTCACTGCTAATCTTATTTTCACTTCATTCTCACTATGTGATTTTTATGACTAATTTCAGGCTTTGTCACTTTTTGGTGCACTCATTTATTTTCCTTCCCTTTAATTGGTTTGCTCGCTCTCCCACTGCCCGTGTGCTGCATTGCATGTTAATTGAACAATTAAGCTCTTCAGAGACCCGTGAGTCGCTGCCGCCGCCAGCTGGGAGGACGGGCCCTGTGGGCTGGTGTGGGCGCCGAGATGCTGTGTGAACAGAGGAAGGCTGTCACGCAGACGTCACATTCAGCTGCTGGCCTCTTGCCATTGTGAGTTTATGGTTTTCCTCACTGACACATGTGGAGTTATTGATTGCTAAACTGGCATAGCAAAACACAGCTCTGGGCAGGAATGCATCAGCAACACAGCTGGGAAGATGGAAAAGGCCTACCTGGATGAGACGACTGTGCCCTGAGTAGCTCAGGATCCTGGTGCTGCCCTTTACAGGAGGCCTTGCACCCCTGCAGTGGTCAAATTCCAGGGGTTTTTCCTTTTATCCCTGACTGAGAGACTCTTGTTAAGGATCAGAGCAGTGGGGGCCCAGCTGTTGTCTTCGAAAATGACTTCTGGCTGCAGGACGACAGGCAGAGGGCAGCCCTCCAGGTCTCCCGAGCCAGAGGAGCACTGTGCACCACTTACAGCAAGACTTTTCATGACTGATGCCCTGTGTTTGGACAATTAATAGTTAAAAGTTCTCATTAGCGCCTGTCTCTGTGCATTTAATCAAACTTTAATTTCCAATTGCTTTCAATGTATTTGTATGCCATCCTGCATATAAACACTTTGGTATATTTTCAGAATTCACAATACTTTATATGCACATGTGAACATAAGACAGTTTACAAAGAATAGGCTTGTTTGGATTTTAGAAGCTAATCGATCTGAGGATCCAGCCCAGCTGTTTCTTGAAAGAAGGCAGAATGTCTTCATTGTCTTCATTGTGAAGCAGAATTCACCAAGTGTTGGATTGTTCACCCATTAATAGGGAACGTGAGCTGGGTTTAGACCGTCGTGAGACAGTTTAGTTTTACCCTACTGATGATGTGTTGTTGCATTGTTGCACAATGAAGGCAGACTGTCTTCCAAACATGGCTGACTAGCTTGTTCCAGAACTTACAACTCTTTGTGTAAACATACCTTGTGTTGTCTTTTTTTTCAGAGATCTGGTGCATAGTTTCCTCCTATATCCTGTTGCTGGCTTCATCTATGCCATGGTGGATCATTGACTGTGTTTTTTTGTTTCATCAAACACTGTATAGGCAGCTACAAAAATAAATAAAAATATCTTTCACGACTGAGTCCAGACACAAAGGGCTGTGTGCAACACTGAATCACACAGATTTCTTAAAGACTGTGATGCAGTTAACATGTTGAAAACAGATCATTTTATTTACAGTTTGGCACATAAATTGAAGCAGAAGTTTCACATTACAGGTAAAATATTAGTTTGCAAAAACATTTATATATACAGTACATACAAACAAGAAACACTGAGTTTGTCAAACTGACAAAAGACACATCAAGTTAGCAAAGTGAAATTTGGATGTAGGTACCCTCTTGTCTTATAGCCAATGTGCTGCATTTTGTCCTTTGTAGCAGTTGTGAAGGTTAGGGAGCCGGTTTGAATAACTGTGTTGCTTGTGACTGTGTTTTTCTGGGGTGATCAAGGGGATTTCTGCCTGCATGATTTCCAGGACGACAACAGTTTTCTCTGATCAGTCAGAGTGAGTTTCCTCATTTTTCTGAGATGGGACTCATCAGAACAAACCAGAAAGCTCAACATATCCTCATGTATCCAAAAAGAGTTGAAACCAAAGCTCAATACAGAAAGGAGATACTTTTCGTTAGTTTTAGTTAATAGAGAGGGTCTTTCAAACACTGAACCCCAGAAAGACGATGGTTGTGGGAGACAATAAAATCACAAACGTGCATTCTTAAAGCAAATGCTTTAATACAATGGATGAACTGGCTATAGCTCATGATCTGAATGATATTCATCTGAGGTTTGAGCTGCAGAATGTTTCCAGTTCATGTAGCAGCATATTGGATACTATTACTGCTGATAGCAGTGTTGACAGGCTAGAACTCAGACCACAGACAATCACACGATCCTTTAAGCACATTTGTGCAAAAAAGGCAACAGTTCTTGATGGCATCTCAGTTTTTCTTTTAAAAATGTGTGCCCATCTCTCAGAAGTCTGCTGTTCCTGTGCCGTGGAAGAAGGCAATCACGAAAATGTCCTGTTCCTCAGAAAATAACAATTATAGACCTGTAGCACTGAGTTTCATTGTAATGAAATGCGTAGAAAGAATTATGGTATCTATGATCTGCTCAGAAGGTGAAACTACTGAGTCCATTTTAGTTTATATATAAACGCAAAAGAGGCAGCAATGTTGCAATTAACAGCAATATGCATCTTGGTGTTAACCTAGCTGGGTGACTCAGGTCAAGAGTGTTTGCTCCAGAGTTCAGCAGTGCCTGTATTTTTTACAAAGATTAGGAATATCTAGAGTGTGGAGAATATGGTAGTTTGATAATTTTACAGTTCAATTAAAATCACCAATCTTGTCCAAACAGTAGTGAAGGTTATGGGAGTGAAGCAGCACTCCTCCTTGCAGACAGCTTTTGAACAACCCATAATAATATATAATTTCTTAATATATAGCACTTTTCTGGACACCCTTTTCCGGCACCAGCCTTAGTTTTCCCAGGAGGTCTCCCATCCAGGTACTACCATCCAAGTAATTTTTGAAAAATTATTGTATTCTAATTCTGAATATCAACTTCTTCCCACTAGAAAACATTGTATGGTTTCCAAATGTAGATCAGGTAATTACAAATATTCATTTGTTTCCTTATCTATTAAAGCAATTTATACACATAAATGGCAAGGGTAAATGCAACTGTTTCAGTATAAACAGAGGTTTATATTTGATATAAACAAATATAAAGTTTCATATATGTAACTACATATTGTAACGTGTCATGACTATGTTGTAACGAGTTCTGCAAGTGTAATAGATGTGATGTGTGATGTTTTGTGATGTATTTAGATGAACAGATTTTCCCCTCGGGGACTATAAAAGTTAATCTTATCTTAAATCACAGCAAGTGAGAAAATGCACATGAAAATGGGTGAGAGTAGAGTCTTTTCAGGATGTTGACTGCATGAGAGATAAAGAGCTGATCAACACCTGGGGGAAGCGCGAAACCTCCACCTGTTCTTCCACTCTTCTGTCCTAGCAGAGCGTACCTGAGACAGGGTCCAGCAGGCTCGGCTCACAGCGGGTTGTCCATGTTGCAGTCCAGGTCACGGCTGTCCCTGGGCAGCGGCTCAGACACCAGGCTGAGACAGGTGGTGTTGTGGCGGGAGGCCCGGAGGGACAGCAGGCTGCTCTGGCGGTGCTGGGCCGGGTGCAGGAGGTGGCGCAGGTGCAGCCGGAACTTGTGGTGCAGCGAGGCATAGATGAAGGGATTGTAGCAGGCGGAGCTCATGGCCACCAGGTGGCAGGAGACCTGCACTATGTTGACGTAACGCTTGCCGATGATGCGGAAGTCCGTGTCCAGGTCACGGATGAGGTTTAACACCTGCAGGGGTAGCCAGCACAAAGCGAAGGCAAGCACTGATGTCACCAGCAGGGTGAAGGTCTTGCGTTTCTTTTTGTTCCACTTGGCCTGGTTGGGCTGGGCGGCTCCGGGCACGCAGCGGTGTCGCAGGTGGGCAGTGATGGCACAGTATGAGACAGTGACGGACAACAGGGGGATCATGTAGGACATGAGAAGCATGAGGCAGGAGTAGAGGAGTCGTAGGGTCTCAGCACCCATCCAGAACTCCTCGCATACCACCAGGTTGTGGCCAGCGGGCCGCAGGTCCAGGTAGCTGGTGTGCAGAGTCGGAGGGGTGGCCAGAGCCAGGGACAGCAGCCACACTCCCAGTGCCACCAGGCCACAGTAGCGCAGGGGGATGCGCCGGCGAATTGGGTAGGCCACCACCACGTAGCGGTCTACGGCGATGGCCGTCAGTGACAGCACTGACACGTAGACAGTAGAGGCCTGCACCAGCGGCACCAGGTGACACAAGAAGTGGCCGAAGAGCCAGCCTCGTGGGTCAAAGGCATAGGAGGCCGTCAGGGGAACGCAGCTCAGACACATCAGCAGATCACTGGCTGCTAGGTTGCCAATGAAGAAGTTGGTGGCATTGTGGAGCTTCTTGTCAGCCAGGATGCAGGCCAGCAGGAAGGCGTTGCCCACGCAGGCCACTGCCACCAGGAGGCAGTATAGTGGCACAAAGAGCGGCTTGAAGCGCAGGAGCAGCTCCAGTCCAGCAAACACATCCAGGGGGTCTGTTCGGTTCAGGGGGCCTCCTCCCAGGGTGCTGTTCCCACTGCCCAGCCCCTCCGTCAGGAGTGGGTCCATATCTGTCCTGCACAGCACACAGGGAGACAGGCAACCTTGGTATTTGCTTCTGTCGCTCGCAAGCCACCCTCCATAAAGAGAGCAATTCCGCCATTTCTAAAAAAGATCGTGTTTCTTTAATGTCAACACAGATCCAATGGCATATGAAGCATAATATTATTATATTACTATGAGATTTTGTGTTCTGCAGTGGTGTTGCTTGTGTTTTGTATGGCAAGTTTCTGGTATTTTTGTTTGGCCTTAAGTCATGGTGGCCTAGTATCTCTAAGGGGATCAAACTATGACATGGGAGCTGTTAATGGCCAATCAAGCCATGAGCCCTGGTTCTACTGATGTTGTTGTTTAATTATCAGGAGACATCATGGTGGCACATGGTGGAATGGTATAGGATGAAGGTGCAAGAGTTAGAGACAGTGGAGAGGAGGAATTGAGAGAAAGACAGATACAGAGAGAAACACAGCATACTGTACAGTAGGAAGACAATGACATAAAGATGAAACTGGTTTCTGGCAGTTAGGTCTACAAGGGTACAATGAGACCTTGGCTGCTGTATGCACTGCACTATATTACCATCCAGGGTTCCATAAATCACTAGCCCCTTAGTCTAAAAAAGGTTCATATAACTTAGATGATTGCAGCCAGGGAGAAAAACGTCTGCCACGGGACTTCTCTGCTCGTCTCCTGGGCAGTTGTCTTTGTAACCGACTGCCACTCCTAGCCCAGGACAGCATCTCAACACCTTCTCGCAGTCCGAGCTGCTGAGCGACTGTGATTCAGCACCTTGTCCAGATCTCAGCCTGGGGGGAAGGGAAACCCAACCCATGGATGAGAAAGGACACCAGTTGCTTTGTGTTTGTCATTTCAGCCGTGCCCCAGAGCCCCAGAGCCCCAGAGCCCCAGCTGTACCCCAGCAATGCCCCAGAGCCCCAGCTATGCCCCAGAGCCCCAGAGCCCCAGCTGTGCCCCAGAGCCCCAGAGCCCCAGAGCCCCAGCTGTACCCCAGCAATGCCCCAGAGCCCCAGCTGTGCCCCAGAGCTCCAGCCATGCCCCAGAGCCCCAGCTTTGCCCCAGCTGTGCCCCAGAGCTGCAGCTGTGCCCCAGCTGTGCCCCAGAGCCGCAGCCATGCCCCAGAGCCCCAGCTGTGCCCCAGCTGTGCTCCAGAGCCGCAGCCGTGTCCCAGCTGTGCCCCAGAGCCCCAGCTGTGCCCCAGAGCTGCAGCCATGCCCCAGAGCCCCAGCTGTGCCCCAGCTGTGCCCCAGAGCCATAGCTGTGCCCCAGCTGTAACCCAGAGCCACAGCCGTGCCCCAGAGCCCCAGGCAGGGAGTCTCGTTGCCTGGTGTGCAGTAAACAGCATTAGCTCAACACTGGAACTGCAAGCTGCGTGGGCAGTACCTCCTAGCAGGACAGCTGTGTGTGTATCATTACCCTCATTGCACCTTTCCTTCCTTATCATTTGCAAACATAAATCTTTATCACACTCAGCATGTGTCATGTTACATTTCTTTTCACGCCTATGCACCATGAAAGGGTCTTCGCACTTTTCTTTTTATGGATTGTGAACACAGCATTTCAGTTTACGCGCCTCATCGCCTGTCCTTCGGATGAGACGTAAAATCGAGGTCCTAACTTTCTGTGGTCATTAAAAATCCCAGGGCATTTCTCAAAAAGATTAGAGGTGTACCCTGGCCTCCTGGCAAAATTTCCCATTGGCCCTTATCAATCTTGTCCTCCTAATAACCCCCTTCTCTGAACTGGCTTCATCACTCTGCTCTCCTCCCCACTAATAGCTGATGTGCGGTGAGCGTTCTGGTGCACTATGGTTGCCGTCGCATCATCCAGGTGGGGCTGCACACTGGCGGTGGTGGAGGGGATCCTCATTACCTGTAAAGTGCTTTGAATGGAGTGTCCAGAAAAGCACTATATAAGTGTAAGCAATTATTATTATTATCTGTGTCTCACATATTTGATTGCACATCTAAAACATTGTGATGGAGACTCCTCGCTGGTTTCTGGTCTGTTGTAAAAAAGCAACAGTAACTCAGTATCTGAGACGTTAATCCCTGTCACTCGACTGTGATCACCCATGCTGCCCATCACAGGCAGACAGCAGGCAGTGAGATCTGCAGCAGGTAAAGGCAACACAGTCTCAATGTGGATTCTCAGACATTTGGGACCTGTAGTCTCTTCAGTGTGCTGGGAAATTTGGTTCGCAAATTTGGGGAAGCAATAAGAATTTCCTTGCATCTCCAGTCTGTCCTTTTGCCAACCTGTACCACTGGGCTTTCACGGATAAGTACCCTGGCTGCAGTGTGCGCCCCTGGGCCAGGAGGTGACACACAGCTGCCACTTCCTGTCTTGATCTGCTCACATTTCAGCACTGAGGGACAGCTAGCCTCCCACCCCAGCATGTGAAAGTCAGTGACCCCCGCACACACTCTACTTGGGACATGGACATACTGAACTGTGATAATCAGCTTGTGCACATACAGTATAGCATTTAAGTTTTTTCTCTCACTTACACCTGTGCACAGTGTATTTGCAGTTTGATTTTGCTGTGCTGAGTCCATGTATCAGTTTACTGTGCCATAATATCTTACAATGTCCCTTGCGCCTTGCCTACCTCTGTGTGCTTTCACTTGCCTTTCCCAGGACTTCCCACCCAGCCTTTACCCTGGGAGAACAGGGCAGCTTCAAGAACACAGCTGATTGGCCCTGATGAAAATCACAAGGGATGAAGGTTTTTAGCTGCTTTATCCTAAGCTGCTTTCTTATTTGCATTATGAGTTCTTGTACAACTGAATCTTAAAAATCGAATTTTACTCACTTTTTTGCTTGAGCTAATGGGTTGGCTATTGTTTTGAAGGGCTCTGCTACACAGGCTGATATGAGGGCCTCTTCTTCGGTTTGCAGAGCTAAACCACCTTTAGCATCATTATCCTCTGGCCATTTCCACAGTGGAAAAGCCTAGCAGTCTCGATGGGAAAGTGCAGGCATGAGCTGTTCATACGAGACACTTGTGATTTAAATCAAATCCAAGTGAAGCAATCTTGTATCACAGCTGCACTCATCTCAGTGCGAGTCGGTGTTCTGACTCTGCGCTCACTGGCTGCTGCCTCATTAATGCAGACTCAATCAGTTCTAATATACAGCAATCAGCCAGACAGCTTTCTTCACAGCTAAAGGAAATAAACTGTCTTTGTCAGAAAATCTTTTTAGACCGCAAATAATTTCCTAGTTTGTTTTGGGGAGAAAATAGTGGAGAATGTGATACATTTCAATATCTAAATTCACCACGAAATAAACAATAGTTTCCCTCTTATCAAAGTAAGCCACTGAACTGGTGAGTCTTGTCATCCAGCTGAGACACTTTTTGACTAGATTGTTTTTTTGAATGTGTCTGATCTGCCACCAGTGAAAAGCCACTGCACACCAGGTTCTGGTCATAACCATGAGGCAGCGATGCAGCAAGCTCATCTCTTATGACTTTTTATAAATACATTTTCCAGTATTTATTTTCCTGTTTTGTTCTTTGTCAGCTGCATGTGTTTTACACATGCTGTTTGTCTTCTTTAAGTCTATTTGCCAGTAAAATGACTGTCCAGCAGAAGAGGAGATGATGAAGGAGCTCTTAGCTCTTCTGCAAATGAAAATGATGATTTTTTTACATCACTGATAACCTGATGCTTGAGCTTCTGCTCATTTCTTGACAGTGCCACTGCCATTACCAGCAGTTAAAGTACCGTATATCATGAATTGGAAGTACGAAGATGCTTTACTTTTTTCCCGCAGAGCAATGACAATCTCTCCTGTCTGAGCTGAAGCCTTTTTGACTCAATCTGAAGTGTCTCAATTGATGCTTCTAAAGATACACCTGACCAGCCCTTGTGGCCAGAGACGCAGATGAGCTGGTTCCACCCCATCTCACAACAAGCACAGACAGTTTTCTAATGAACTATCACCAAGAGCTCTTTAGTGTCTCGCTTTCTGAGAAGCAGTTACTTGTGCAACAGACCTACTAGCACTTGTGAAGCCGTAGTGAAGTGGGACTCAGGAAAGGGACATCACATACAGACACTTTGAAACATGTGGTCTATATACAATCTATGTAATATTCACTTTGTAACCCCATAGACATTAAACAATACAGGACGATTTTTTGGCAAAATCAAGATTTGGTGTATGTCAGTTGTCTGTTTATCCATTTGTCTCAGTGTCACACAAACGTAATCATTACTGAAAAAGGTTTAAAATATGAAATTCACATATTTAAAATAAATAATTTCAAATGTTTTTAAAATAGTTTAAAATGTCTCTTCACTTATAAATGTTTATTATTAAGAAAATATTGCTTCTTTTTGCAGTAGTGAATTTAAATACATTTAACATTTTTAATGTTTGATGTATTGGAAATATTTATTTTTTCCATCAATTTTAAAGCAAATCAATCTCCCTGTAGTTAAAATGTCCCCTGAGACTGTGAGTGGCTGAGTGAAGTGGCATACCTGTGCTGCAGGCAGGGGTCCCAGGACGTTGAGAGGGGTGCAGTCTGCTGAGGCTCTATGGCTGTGCTGGGCTGTGCTGGGCTCTTCGCAGCTGTGATGCTCAGCGATGCTCAGGGCTGGTCTGTCGGCTCTGGAGTGTGTGCCTCTGTGCTCCAAGGGCTGTGTTGCACTCAGCATCAGGACCGGCAAGGGAGTGAGGCAGTCTGGAACAGCCTGTCTCTTTCCAGCACCCCTTTCCAACACCTCCTCCTTCACCCCCACCCAAACACTCTCTGCATCCGTTCTTAACCCTTTCCATCCTGCCTGCTCTCCGGCAGCCCCCACTGGCTCTGAGGACCTGTCACTGCATGCACACTGCGTGTGTTCATGTGTGTGCTTGAGCAGTAACTGCGCACTCACCCTCTCCCAGGTTTTCATTATTATTTCAAACAGCAAAGCACGAGGAGAGCTCAGCCTATCCATGTCCTTCGTTCCACCCTCAGCCCTGGATTATTTTAGCAGCCCTGGTCCTAGATGAGCCCCCTCTTATTTGTCATTTCTAATGAGATCTTAATTAGAGAGGATTACGGGACTCTGAATTTAAATGTGTTCTTGTTTAGATATCTTTTTAATGATATTAAATAATTTTTGCCTTAAGAAACGTAGTGGGTGTTGAGCCACAAAACATTGAGAAAGCACAACTCTGTCCAATCTGTCCGCATCTCTTTAAAATTGCCATTGTCCTGTAATTGTCTGGACAGCCCTTGGTTCATTACCAATTAAAGGGGAAAAAACAGGTTGGAATTACACTATATCCTCCACTTCTGTATGAAAGTCAGGAAATTTGCAACAGTTTTATGTAGGATTACATTGACACGCCCCTAAAAATTTAGGCCCAGATTTATGACAATTTGTCCAGTTATTTTTGTTTATAAAGCCACCCTAGGCTCACAGCTGTGAACCCAGCAGCCACAGGGAGGAATGAGGAAGTGTAGGCATGATCCTCCCGGTCACCCTCAAGCCTCTCTCACATCACAGGCTACGCAGCCCCTAGCAGGAAGTTCAGCACTCATCGACGGCACCGCAGGCCTGATGGCTCCTGGGAATCACAGGGGTCGCTGCTCACGGAGGATCTGAGATAACCTTGGCTGGCCCAACCTGTCCTTTTGCAGTGCTCAGCCAATGGCGTGCCCTCACTTTGGGAACCCCAGTCATGTGACCCAGGGTCCAACCTGCTGCCCTGCCACCTGTTGAATCACTCTTGAGCCCCGTCGGTCACCCATTTCTAATCATACTTTTGAGATATCTGTCTGTGCAGCTCTGCCAATTTGGAAGTCTGGTTATTCTGCCTGGTTAAATGGATTTGTGCGTAGGACCTTGGTAAAACTCCCTGCTTCTCCATTAACAGCTCACATTCTATATCTGTCACCGATCTCTGAGGCCTAGGTAGTTGTTGCCTGTAGGGATCGTGTGGCCTCCAATACACTCGAATGGAAGTAGATTCCAGAGTGTGCATCCTTGCTGGTGGCTTGTGAATTCAGTATTAGAGATTACTGTCTAACAGAAGATTGGGTCCCCGAAGGAGCTTTCGCTAAGTGTCTTTCCTCACTCATCTCCGCTCACCAAAGGAGAGGGGGTCATTTTTTCTTTGGGTTCATTAATAATTACAGAAGCAGTTATTATGGCCATTAGTTTTATGCAATGAGAACCTGATTGTTCAGGGTTTCATAAAAGCATGTGTGCCCAGTGATCAGAGCCATGGTAATTAATTCTTTCCTATTCACTGTATGCAACCTTTGTCACACAGCGCTGCACTTACTTTCTTTTGAAGAGGCAGTCGTTCCACACAATGAAAATAGCTCAGATATTAATTTTAGCAAGTCAGTGTCCAGCATTATTTTTTGTGACCTCTGTGTCATTTTGTAGAATAATTTGTTTCAGGTAAGAGCTTGGAAGAGTAAATAGACACGTAATTCTGTCTTGATGTATCTGAGAACTGCAGCTCAGCTACTGAGAGAGCCTTCTGTAATGTCTGAGAGAGGACACATCTCAACCTGTTCATGGGCTCCTGCTCACTGACTGGGCCGGTCATTCCATTGATGTCTCCAAGTAGAATTTTTTTTATTTTACTTATATTTTGTTAAGTAACATTGTACATAATAAAGCACACACACACTGAATTGAAGGAACGCACATTTACACCAGTGCCATTTGACCTTTAATTTTGCATTATTAGAAAGCTTCTGTCAGTACTCAGACAACATGTAGAAAACCATCCAACACCTTTTCTCACAAGATGTGATTTTACTCAAATATTTTACAGCATTTGAGCTTCATTTTTTCTCTCAGAGAAAAATGTTGTTCTTTAAGCAGAAAGGTGTTTAATGTTTTGATAATTAAATACAAATTGCCTGAATATCGACTAAACACAAGATTAAATAAAGGGTAAAGTTTTATTGAAATCCATCTATTAAAAGTGTATTAGGGTGTAGTGTGAGCAGTAAAATACTGCCAACGCCCCCCTCAGGACCCCCGCGCCTGAGTAAACGCAGCTTGTTGCTGCACAGTTGCATGATGGAGCAGAATGAAAAGCTGAAGGCCTGGCGGTGGGGAGGGTGACGCTGGCAGTGCTCACACCTGTGCCTGCAGCAGACTGCATCTCTGTTGCATCCGCACCTGTAAGATGATTGATTGGTGGTCCCTGAACTGGGGGTGACTTCAAATAAAAAAAAATAGTGAAAGGATGGGGGGAACAGGGGGGGCGCAGTGGGAACATACCGTTGCCTCAGAGCTCAGCGGTCCTGGGTGGAATCCTGACTCTGTCTGGGTGGAGTTTGCACGTTTCCCCCATGTCCTCCTGGTGCTCCAGGTACGGAGGAAATGTGTGTGTGAGTGAATCCATGTGAGAGACTGCTTTGTCTGCTGCACGCGTGCCACAGGCTGCACAGCTTGTGGGGGTGGAGGGGCAGAGCGGCTGCCTGCTCCCCCAGGTGACTGGCTAATTCGGCACATCTCATTCAAGCCTGCAGACTCTGTCTCCCGTACCTACTTAGCGGAAATGAAGCTGAATGAGAAGAGAAGGCAGCGGAGCTGAAGTGCAGTGAGTGCTCCGGGGACGGAGCTCAGGGCTTTGAGTAAACAGCAGCAGCACTGGCTCACTGCATGGTGTGCAAGTGACCCGCCTGTCACCTGTCCCTCCTGTTGAGGAGACCCAGTACCTCCAATTTTACAGGTCTGCTTTGTATTTGATTATTTGTATAATTATTTGAATATTATTTGCTTTGTATTTGTATTTGATTTGTTGTTTGATTCTTTTTATGGTGCACTATGTATAAAACCTTGCAGTCTTCTCCAGTCCAGGTTTAAGCATCAGGCTTTAAGTAGCTCAGAATCATGCAGATAAGCTCACAGGACTGGAGTGTTATCAAATTTATATCATTGTATTGTTTTGTGGCATCTGATGTGATTTTGTGCCATTAATAACACAGTTCAGTTGGATGTTAGCTACAGAAAATGAAGTCTGCCTTACTTGAAACATTATCTGCAGTCTCCATCTGAGGGGAAAAAGAAGCTCTTCTTGTTACAATAAGCTGCTCTGATAAGACTAGTAATGAATAAACATACCCCACATATTCTCCCCCCTGCGCACTGGAGAGGAGTTCCTACACACCCCTCCTGGACTGGAGAGGGGTTTCTGCACACACATGCCCCCTGATGGTGTCCATGAGTGGGCCTGTGTTATCCCCCCGTTCTTATTCAGTGGCTGTAGCACTGGTCGTCAGAGATTCAGGTAGTGACAGGCTGTGTTGGGTTGGTGTTTGGCACCTTTGTAGAAGAAGAAAATACTTGAAAGACCAAGTGAAGACAGTAGATAAAGATTTTGGAGGGTCTATGCCATGTGGCACTGTGACTGTACAATCTATAAGACTCTAACTGCCCTGGTGAGATTTTTTTCAGTTATGCTGGAGCCATTCAACAATTAGTCTTTAAATTGAATTTGCAGCTGTACTGTGGGGACACTGGGGGGCGCTCTTCAGAACATCAGCCAGGGTGGCTGGGCAGCAGTTACAGACATTGTCAAGGAGAGCAGCAATAAAGCACACATCAGATAATAGGAAAAAGCATTTTGGTAACAAAAAAGGTTTCGCAGGCATGACTTCCTTATTAAATATAAAGCCTCATGTGGACCAGGAGGAGGCCCAGGAAGGAGACACTCTTCCTGCTGTCCTCTTGGCTACAGCCGACCCTGTTTCTGGCTCAGGACCTCGGCTGGCTCTGAGTGAGCGAGTGAACGAGGACATCCTCGGAGCGTGGAAGAGGCAGAACAGGGGTCTGGCTTCAGATGTGGGGGATCTGGGACACAGCTGGGGAGCTGGGGCACAGCCTGGGGCAGAGGGGAGGGAGCAGCACCAGGAGAAGCAGGAGCAGAATTATCTGGTGTCAAGCTGAGAGAGTCGAGGATAATCCGTCTTGGAGAGGAATCTAACATCGGTGATATTTACTGGCCCCATGGGTCTGCTGCCGAATGGATGTAGACTTTGAGAGAATAGAGTTTGAATTTGTAGACGTATTGTTTACCATTTACAAATCAAGTACTGAATCAAGCTGTTTCTTGCAGTAGTGTGCAGAACATCAGAGAGGAATTTTCCTTTCATTTCTGTCCCCTTTCTTCTTACAATTTCCCAGTAAGAAACTGTCAGACTGTTGTATTCATATCCCTGAGATGAGAAGACGTTTGAGTATGTGCTTGCAGTGAGCTCCCACCCAATAATTACACACTTGTGCCCAGCTGGGCAGTTCTGGCTTTTTCCAGATGCAGTGACATCGTGGGTACAATTACATCCAGCCTCTAGCTTTCAGCGTTAATGGGGTTTATTGATTGTATCTGAAATAACACAAAGCGATATTTTAAAATCAGAAGGCGCTCATCGCATTGCAAAGCTTACAATGGAAAAAATGAAAATGGAAAGAAAGGAATGTTTTTGTGTGTTTATTCATTTATTTATTAATTTATGTAGGTGCACTGCTTGCACACACAGTACTTCATGTACCTTCTTGACTGTGGGGCAAAGGAATTACTCTGTCTGGTCAGAGCACCAGACAATCGACATATTTCTAGGTACTGTTCTAGAACAAGGTGGTCAAATGCAGTGTGTGTGTTATTGAAATGAGAATTTAAGAATATAAGAA